CTCTCCCTTACCCCCTCGCCCTGGCTCCTTGCCTCGGGGCAGCCTCGGAGTCGAGCCAGCAGCACTCCTCCAACTCTACTCCACCCGAGCCTGACAGCTGGGCGGTCCCGCCTGACCCGCCGGCGGGCCGCTGCTCCCTCTCGCAGACTCCTGCCGGGGCGAGCAGCGCCACTGCAAAGGATTTGCCAGCGCGGGTCCGAAAACCCGCGGGCTGGGGCTGGCTGAGCGGAGTAGTTTCCATTGTGCGGCCCGGCGAATGGTCGGGAAACGCGCGCGCGCACATGCACACACACCCTCCCTCGCACACGCGGAACCGGCTGGGCCAGGGGAGGGAGGAGGAGGGTGACGTAGCGTCCCATGGCGTCACATTGACGTCTCGCATTCCAGGCACTCTATGGAGAGGCCGCTAGGGCTCCTGTGGCATAAATGACGTGCCGAGAGAGCGAGCGAACGCGCAGCCGGGAGAGCGGAGTCTCCTGCCTCCCGCCCCCTACCCCTCCAGCTCCTGCTCCTCCTCCGCTCCTTACACACAGACAAGCTCACACCCGCTCCCTCACTCGCACACACATACACGAGCGCACACACGCTCGGCACACACACTCCACTCTCTCCCGCGCGCTCACACCCCTCTCGCCCTGCGCCCTCGCGGGTGCAGCGCCGCGCGGCAGCCGGACTTCCCTCCCGGGCTCACTTTGCAACGCTGACAGCGCCGGCGGTGGCCGTGGAGGTGGGAACAGCGGCGGCATCCTTCCTCCTGGTCGCGGCCAGAGCCAGGACGGCCGCGGAACCCCTCGGCGGCGCTCTCCCATGAGTCAGGATCATAGCATCCCCTGCCAGCCGCTCATCGCCTCTGGGAGCCGCTGGGCTTGTGCACCGCAGCCTTTCCAGGACAGCAGCTGTGACTCCCCCTCAGTGCAGATTTCGGGGCAGCTCTCTAGAAACTCGCTCTAAAGACGGAACCGCCACAGCACTCAAGTACGTATGAGATTCGCCCAGTTAATTGGGGGACTTGCTAAAAAGTTGGAGTACTGGGAAGCGTCGCTCCTGAAATTGACAACTTTGAGTGTGGGGTTTTACCCCCTCACCTCCTCGTTGCGGCTTTGCTCGAGGAGCGGCTGGTGGGTTCCAATGTAAAACTTTTCCCCTGTACCGGGCCAACGGGGATATTTGGAGCTGGTGGAATTCCT